ACTGGCCTCGTTAGCCAGGGCGAACATGCGTTCCACGTCGTCGCGTGTGTCGGCCTGCTCCATGCGGTCCTGATATCGCCCAGCGATGAGGGTCCCTAATGCCTGCAGTTCGTGACCCTCGTGAGCTCCATCGTTGGGAGGGTAGGGCGTGGGGGCAAGAAGGCGTCGGGCCGTATGGTCGAGGCGACTGAGGTCAAGCGTGACCTGCAGGCCAACATGGGACTTCGCTGGCAAGTCGCGCAGATAGCAGAAGTCGGTGACAAGGGATCGCGCCGCTTGGTTGGCAATGATATAATCGATGCGCGAAGTGCGGGGGCACTTGGTGACGCGGTCCCAGTCAGGGATATTGCCGTATGTGTGCATGGTGTGGTCTGGTGTGCCCTCAGCGACGTTAAACCATCCGTGCTGCATCATGTGCAGCAGGTGTGGATTGTCGTCGATGTTCGTGTTGGCGTCCATGCAGATGAAATACGGGGCTGAGCCGACCCTTGCGGCGGCGCAGTCAGCGAGCCGAAAAAGATCTGTGCTGTCTCCTCCAGCAACCCCGTAGAGGCTCGCTATGTAGATCCCAGCGGGCCCGTGGTTGTTTCGTCGCCGCCTGCGGCGGTGCTGAGTGCAGAGCGGGAGAAAGGCCTCGTGCCATCTTTTCTTGGCCTTGAGGGCGACGATACAGGGCGCAGTGTCGTCGACAGTGGAGTCGACAATGGCATCCTTAGAGAGGATGGCGACCCCTCCCGAGGCGCCAGTGTTGCCCACGACGGTGTGGTCTGTGCCGCCGTGGGCAGCTCTGCGCTGGGCTCGCGCCAGATCCAGGTCAGGTCCAAGACTGGCGTGGTATCCCCCGTGGTGTGGATTGGCGGCGCTGGTAGCGATGGCTTGTCTGGTCGGCTTGGCATGTCGGGTCTCCTGCAGTGCTATGACTGCGGCGTTGTGGTCGACACCAAGAGCGGTGATGGTTGGCCAGTTCGCTGAGAGACTGGTGATGTTTAGGCTGACGAGGTGTATGGAGCGACCTGGCCCGTCTCCATCGGTGGAGCTGGGGTTTGCACGCCCCGCGCGGTGTAGGTCAGCCTGACCCTCGCCCAGGTAGAAGGCTTGGCCACAGTAGGAGCTCATGGCGTTCCTATGGATTAGCTTGACCGGGGCTGAAGCCGCCGTCAGGCCAGAAGTATAGGCGAGACATGGTCGGCACTGCGCCAGGGGGGGTTCATAAACGTCAGTAAAACTGTCTCGAAAAATCCTCCTCACTCCTGTACCATAGGGGACGAGGGGAGGAGAGGTGAGACGGCAGCAGAGGGAGAGGGAGGCGACTCCTCGATCCGTCCTGCCGAACACAAAAGCAAAAGCGAACCAGCGGCGGCGGCTCGGCGCGGCAGCGGCACAACGCACGCGCATATACTGCGCACGCGACACCGCTGGTCCGTCCTGCGGTGGCGCGCCCGCCCCGTCAGTATCTTGATGAGCAGCATCTGGTGGAACAGCTCGAGCAGCGCGGTCGGTGGCCTGGCGCTGGGCCTCGTCCATGCCCGCTGCCGTGAGGCCCGCGTTGCGGACAGGGCTGATTCCCCGCGGGGCCGCCGCTGCCGCGGCAGCGGCTGAGGTGGCGGGGGCTCCGCCCCGACTCTGAGGTGAGAGCGGTGAGCCACCGCCGAAACCCGCCGCAAGGTCCTTGACACGGTACTTGTTCTTGAACGGGTCGAAGGTCGGCGCCTCGTCGATGGGGGCGATCACGCGGGTGGGCAGCGGCGGCTCGTGGTCCGTGGACGGCGTCGGCTCGAGGTCGACCTGGCCAGGTTCGATGACGCTGGCACCGAAGCGTGGCACCACTTCGGGGGCTCGGCCATCAGCCTGAGTCTCGCGAGGCGGCGAGCTCGTGGAGCTCCCTGGGGCCTTGCGTGAGCTGTGGCGGCTGCAGGACCTGCTGCGCGGGACGCGCCCGCCCGTGTGGCGGTCGCGTGGCGAGGTCGCCTGGGCATTAGCGCGCTCGGAATCCGCCCTGCTCGGGGATCGGATCGGCGCCGCGCAGGGTGATGGGCTGGGCTGGCGGGAGGCGCTTGTGCCGCCCTCCGCCGTGGCTGTGGCCTGGTCAGGGTCGACAGCGTCGGGGCGGGGGCTGACGTGGTGGGCGCTTCCCTCGCTGTGCCGCGGGGAGGCGCTGTGATGCGCCTGGGTGTACGTGAGGACGAGCGGGACAAGCGGCTGCCTCTCCCGCTCAGGTGGGGCAGGTTTTGCCTGGGCAGGGCGCAGCGCTGCAGCCACGTTTGGCGGGGGCGTGTGCTGGCGCGGTTGCCAAGCACGCACGTTCGCATCACGCCATCCTTCAGGGCGCCCTGTCCTGCCACGGTTTGTTGCAGCCCCCTGGGCTGAAGCCGCAGGGGTTATCACTGCGGGCTGGTTGCTGGGGGTGCCATCATGTCGGCCTGAGTAATGGCCCCAGGCGCGCGTGGACCCTGGCACGGGCGAGGTGGCCCGTGGGGGGGCCTGCACGAGTGCACGCGGGTAGCCGATGACCGCTGGGTGCACCCTGGCGTGAGGGGCGTGGCCGTAGCTGGAGGCGGCTGCTCCAGCCGCCGCGGGCCTGGCGCCAATGGGGCCACGGTAATAGGCGGCAGCCCCGCCGTAGGCCGTGCTGCCGCCTGTCGGGACTCGCGCGGGAGAGCGGTAGCGTGGCGTGCTCGGCTGTCCTGCGTCGCGTTGGTCGCGCTGCTGAATGCGCTGCTGGTGCTGTTGATATCGCTGCTGGTCGGCTCTCGAGAGGGGGCGGGTGTCGGGGAGGATGGTGGGCACGTCGGGCCGCTGCCAGCCCCGATAGACGTGCTCGAAGGCGTGGTCTGGGTAGGTCTCCCCTACGGGTGAGTATCGCCGCACATGCTCCATGTAGTCGATGTTCTGCGGCTCGGAGATCGCCGTGATGTTTGCAGCTCGCTGGTGCGCTGGTCCATAGAGGCAGAAACTACCACGGTTGCTGCGGTCGTGGTTTAGCTCGGCTTCGGTCGTGGCACGGCTCACCATGGCGTCGCAGAGTCGCATGTCGTAGTCGAGAGCTTGAGGCCCAGGACCACCCTCGGCGTCCCAGTACAGTACCACATCTCGCCAGCGGGTGCGGGTAGTGTGGATGCGCTCGGCGATCGACTCGCAGACGGTCCTGACCGTGACACGGTCCCTGTACATGTTGGTGATGGCTAGGGAGTAGGGTCGGCGGACCGTCTTGTTGAAGGTGAATTCCTCCTTGAGGGCCTGGTGGGGGCCAAAGAGCACGTAGCCTTCCCTCCAGTGAAGTTGGTCGGGGGACGGTTCTTCGGGCATCCCCGTTCCTGTGAACCCAGGTGGCCGCCTCGCGCCGTCAGGCAGTCCCTGCCTGGGGACGCGCCGCGGCCTCGGTGGGAAGTACCATTGACCCTGGTAACCTGCTTGGCCTGGTTGTGGAGGTCCCCCCCCGGGGCCTGGAGGCGCTCGGGGGGGTTCCTTGAGGTCGTGGTGGGCTGGCGCGTTGCCGTATTGGCGGGCAAGGATGTGCGGCGGCATCCCTGTGGCACGGACGTCGAGCAGGCTGTGTGGACTGGGGGGATGGGGGCACCTGCTGGACAGGCAGCATGTGTCGGAGTCCCTGTTGTCGGTGCTGTATGCACACGTCCAACTGTTGCAAGAGTAGTCCGTGGACCAGTCCATAAGTGCACGCAGTCCGCTGCGGGCGCAGTCTGGGCACGTTGGTGAGAGAGAGAGAGAGAGAGAGAGAGAGAGAGAGAGAGAGAGAGAGAGAGAGAGAGAGGAGAGAGAGAGAGAGAGAGAGAGAGAGAGAGAGAGAGAGAGAGAGAGAGAGAGAGAGAGAGAGAGAGAGAGAGAGAGAGAGGAGAGAGAGAGAGAGAGAGAGAGAGAGAGAGAGAGAGAGAGAGAGAGAGAGAGAGAGAGAGAGAGAGAGAGAGAGAGAGAGAGAGAGAGAGAGAGGCGCTGAGGTGATCGAATTTCGCGGGGAGGTGGCGGGCGCTGAGGGGAGCAAATTTCGCACCAAATCTTGCAAGAGGCTCTCTCCGTCGCGCGCGTGACGTTCCGCCGCCGTGCCCCGGCTGACAAATCCGATGCCCCAAGCGCGCCTCTGGGGCATCTCGCGGGTCGCCCTCGACCCGCACCCCGAAACGCCCCAAACGCACGCCGAATTCGTCAGTGCGCCTCCGGCTCCGGCTCCTCGCCCTCCTCCTCCTCCTCCTCCTCCTCGGCTGCCCCCCCTCCTCCTGCTCATCCCTCTCAGGCGAGAGGCGCGCGGGAAGACTGCTACCGCGCCCTGGCGACCTTCGCAGCAGGGGGCAGCGAAACTGACACATCCCCGGCGTGGTACTCTAGTGCAGAGGGAACTGCGTCAACTACAAAGATGCCCATTAACTGCCCGCCACGGACGCGGGCCACCGCCTGAGGCCCTTCGGTCGGGAAGTGCTTGTGGACGGACTGACGGGCGCTGGTCCCGCATGTGGCCAAGGGCCACACCCCTTCGTGGGAGCATGGTGATACGGACTTCCTGTCCCATGGCGCTACACACACGTGAACGAGAAGCGGCGCCGCCGGGATACCGAGCTGCAGCTCGCGGCCAAGGGCCGCAGCTTCTGGCGGGGCGAATCCGCCCACCCACGGCAGGGGCTGGGCAGGCCTCGGAAACGAAGGCGAACTCGAACCGAGACGGTAAAACGCACTGCGACGGGGATCTAGACGGGCCGCCTAGCAGGCCCCCCGACGGGATCGACCTACGCGGCGGGGCGCCTTGCGACGGAATGGCCGGGGAGACGCCGGGAACGGCCGCAGGCCTTTGAACGTATAATTGCGCACGCCCTGCCCAGGGCGAGTCTGGCGCATGGCCTCTCCGAGGCGAGCGGGCGGGCAGCGCCCGCCCGGCCGCTGCTGGCCTCGACGGCCGAAGGCTACGAAGCTGAGCGCGCCGCTGAGGTCGGGGCCCAAGTCCCTCTTCATGGCCGCCGGCCCCGGCGCGGGGCAATGGCAACGGACGGCTCCTCTCACACCCCCGGAAACCAATTCCGCGGTGCCCCGTCGGTGCCCCGCTGGCGACCCCACGGTGCCCCGACCAAACCTCTGCGGCGGTTGCCCACGACGTTGCGCTCGCCCAGGGGGGGCCTGCAGGCGCGGGAGCGCATGCCTCGTCAAGACCCCCGTGGAAGGGCGCGCCGCTCCGGCAGGCGAGGGCCGCCCGCCGCGGCGCCCGTGTATATATATATATATATATATATATATATTTATATATACATATATATATTATATATATATATATATATATATATATGGTCGGGCCTCAGCCCGGCGTCGGCCGACGCGGCACGCCACGCAGACGCCGCCCCGTCGTGTAGGGGGTCTCTCTGCGCAGGGGCGAGAGCCGGCATATTAATGATAGCGAGGCTACGCGGGCGGACGTCGCCCTTCGCTAGCAGCAAAAAGTCGCGAGCCTCAGCGGCGTCACGCGCGCCCAGAAAAACGGGCGACGCTGTGGCTGGGAGGACATCCGGGATCTCCACGCCGAACGTCGGAACGACTGTCCCGCGGCACCACACGCGACTGCCCTTCGACGTCACCACGCCCGGCACCGAAACGGCGTCAGCCACGGCGCCCTCGTCCCAGGGCGGCGCCGCAGCGGAGTGGCCGAACGCGAACGACGGCGCGTCCCGCTCCACATCGGCCACGAAAGTGGCCAGGATGGCCAGGCCCCCCTTGCGCGGGCATAGGGGGAAGGATGAGGAGGAGGGAGGAAGATGAGGAGGAGGGGAGAGGACCTTGCCAAGAACTCTCTGGGACTGCAGTCTCGCGAGCAGACTGGCGAGGGCGTCCGCGTCGAGATCGGACACGGCCGCCTCCAGCTCCCGCAGCCTTGCCTCCCGGAATCGGGCGACTCGGGCGGCCATGCTGGGCTGGCCTGGGCGAGGCTGGCCTGAGAGGGGTTGGCCTGGGTTGGCGGCTCGAGCCTATTGGCGCTTATTTGGGCTCATTTGGGTTTATTGGGCTCTATTTCGGCTTATTTGGCAAAATAACTCCGAATAGCAGGAAATAGCAGGAAACAGCATCGACGTCGCACGGAACGTCGCAGCGGATCCCGCCGTGAACAGGTCAGGCGCTCTCTCATGGCCCCCCCTCCTCCTTCTCTACCTCCGCCCCCCTCTCCTAGCAACGCCGAGTGTCTTCCACAAGTGAGCGCAACAGAAATGTACCGGAGCCGTCGCAACGCTCCGCCTGGGCCCTGGCGGGCTAACGGGCGCCGCGAATCCAGCGCTCTCGAACCCAAGAAGGGAGGGCCGTCGGATGAGGGGGGGCGAGGAGGAAGTAGGACAGCAAATCTGCCAAACACACTTGGGCAACATCGCAAACCCCACCACCCCTCAGGGCTAGGGTGGTTTAGCGCGCTTCCTCTTCATATTCCCCCCTTGTTCCCCGTCGGGGAAGGGCATGCCCCTCTCGCTACCCCTCACCTGGGCCTGGACGTCCAACGTGGCCCAAGATGGCTCCAAGAGGTCCTGTGAGAACGTCGCAAGATTACCTCCAAGATGGCCCCATATAGCCCTAGGTTCCTCAAGATTGCCCCCAAGATGCTCCAAGAGGCCCCGCGACCGCCCCAAGACGAATCCAAATTGCCGCTTCCCTGGCCGGGGCAGCTCATATGGACAGCGTTTCTGGATGGGCTGGCGGGGTTACGCGAAACTTCAAGACTTCTTGAACCCGTCGGGGGCAGCCCGCGGGCATGGACCGAGAAGCCTAGCTGGCCACGCTCCCGGGCGAACTGACCAGAACCACGAGTTCCTCCTCCTACTCCTCGCTCCTCGCCCCCCCTACTCCTCCTACTCCTCCTCCTCCTACTCCTCGCTCCTAGCCATCGCCACTCCCCGACCCCCCCCTTCCCTCCGCGCCGCGGCTTTGGCTGAAGCGAGCCGGCAAGAGGCGTTGCGTCGGGAGGCGGGCCGACCGACAGAAGCATAGTGTCAGATATTTTCTCCGCTGTGCTAGCAAGGAACGATTATTCGCAAGCACGCGAAGAGCTACACAAGCAAGCTCCGGCGGCAGCCGCGGATTACCCTACAGCTGCGACGCCGAGCACGGAGAGGAGGGGCGGCCGAGGGGGGGCGAGGAGGAAAGGGGGAGAGCACTGACGGCCCGCAAATTGACCGGCTTCAAAAAGTGGCGGCAGGCAGAGAGGAGGCGGAACTGGGGGCAACTAGTCGCCTGCGTGCACGGCTGTACCGCACGCCCCCAAAGAAAACAAAAGGAAGTGGAGCCGCCTTCGGCGGCTACGCCCGCAAGAGGCCCGGGCGCCATTTTCGGATGCGCGCGTCTGCGCGGTCGCACCCTGTGGACGCATCGGCCCCTCTGCGCACTAAGTCCTGCCTGAGGCGCGCTGTCTCGTCGGCGCGCCAACGCCTGCGGGCGGCGTTCGCCAAGAACGCAGGGCGGCCAGACCGCCGCAGGGACCAGGCCCGCAAGACAGCGCGCGTTACGACGGGGTCGCCCCACGTCGGGAGCGGCCCGTCGAACTGAATTATCTGGCACGTTTTACTGCGAGACCTGTGACCCAACAAGCGGGTGAGACGCTGGCTCATAATAATTTGCAGTCCTTGTGCTTTGGATTCTCCACTAAAGTGAAGTAGCCAGAGCGCTCGACAACGAAGGGGCCCTCGGAAGAAGATCCGCCCCAGGTGCACACCCGGCATCCGCCACAGGATCCGCTCCCGCCTCATCCGCGGCTGCCGGAGCCTCGTCGTCGCCGGAACCCTCGTTCCCTGACGACTCATCGAGCGCTGCGTCCAGATGCGAATCAACGTCCGAGACGAGGGAGGCCGCGTCTGACGCATGCACTGGGTCTGCATCGCTGGCCCCCGAAGCGCCGCCCTCTAGGTCAGGGTCGCGCGTTTCGGCCGCCCCCGACGGGAGGTCAGCTTGGAGGCCCCAGTGACAGTAAAAAGCGCCTTGCCAGGCAAGGCCTTGCCAGAAACGGCAAGCCGGAAAACGTTGCAATCGGCTTGGAGTAGCGGGATGGCAGCTATAAGCTCGTGCATCGGCACGAACACATCACAAAACTTCCCCCCAAAAGAAACGCTGACCACGCGCGGGTTGTCACTGTCGACGCCCGCGCGCAACGTCGCGGCCCAGACGCGGCCGGCTAGGGTGCAACAAGAAAACGTGAGAGTGCGCCCCTCATTGCTCGCAGCAAAGATGCCCTGCTTGGCGCGGCGCAGCTTCGCCACCCAGTCCGCCGGTGGCTGAGGCGGCGGCGCGGCCTGCAGCCGATCTCCCGCCTCAAACGGCCCCTCTCGGTGCAATCGATTGGTGAACTCCCTGCGCGAAGCAGTAGCGCCGCGGAGCTGCCGTCGGAAATCGTCGTCGTGCTTCTCGCACCAGGCCGACCAGTCGGCGTTTGTAACGGGGGCATCGTTGGCGGGAGCCTGCAATTGATCCTTGGCTCTCTGGCGGATGCGCGCTGCCTTCTCCACGAGGCCGTTCTCCTCCACGTAGCGACGGAGTTCCCCCGTGTCCCCCGTGGACGTAAACTGCCGCATCTCGTGCTCGGAGACGTGGTCCTCCCATCAAAGGGCCCCGCGGCCTCTGGCGAAAAGGTCGGGCCGCTGCTGAACCCCCAGGGCCATCCCAGTGACGAACCGCTGCTTGAGCAGTCTCTTCCGAACCTTGATGGCTCGGGAAACGGCGTCGCCCCGAAATCTCCGGCATTGCCTGAGGATCGAGTCTCTGCTGGCACGGGCTACCGTCGTAACGCGCGTGCCCTTCCGTCTCTCCGACTGTTTGTCCACGAAGTGCTTGCGCTCCACGTCGAGGCTCGTGGCCGAGCCCTCGGTGAGCAGACCGTCTATTTCGGCCCGCACTGGGCGGGACAATACGTAAGCAATCTGCTCGGAGAAAGCACCAGCCGCGCGGGCTCGGGCCCGAAGCCCCTCGGAGTATCCTGGGGCTTGAACCGCCGGGCACAGCGGCCACCCGCGCCCCCGCCCCCGCTAGGAATGCTCGGAGCGAATTGCCGAGGCGGGGCAGCCGCGGAACCCAGGGGTTCGAGCCCTCTCACACCTGTGTCCAAATCCCCTGCGCCCGCGACCAAGAACAACTCCACCTCCGCGGCGTAGCCGGTCGGATTAAAAGCCTTCGACAAGCGCCGCAATGCTGCTGGGCAAGAGTCGTGCTGTTGAAAGCGCACGCATATGTGGGCCTGCGTGACCAGCAGACGGAATGCCGCGCCGCCCGCGTCCAATGACGGGTCCAAGTGCAGCTTCCCGAGGAGGTCCGCGAGGAGCGCCGAAGTTCTGATTTGGACTTCTCGCTTTCCAAGCCTCACCAGTGGAGGCTTCCTGCCTTCCTTCTTTTGGGAAGGGATAGAGGCGGCCAGGTGAGTGAGCTGAAGCGCGAGGGACGCCACTTTCAGCTGTTGGTCGGCACCCGCCCCAATGAACCGCGACCAAAATCGAGTCGCCCGCTTCGCGTTCTCGGCATTTGCCACTGTATACACCAACCGAAAGGCTTCGGGCGGGAATCCCAGCAGCTTCATGAGGAGCAATTTCCACACGCAGGTCGTGAAGAGAAAGAACCTGCTCACGATCGGTTTCTCCTCTACCTTGATCAAATGTCGATAACTAGAGTAGCACGAAAGCCTCTGCTCGAACTGCATCCACCGATTCCCCGGGGCGGCGGACGCGCAAGAGCGCGCTGAGATCACCATCGAAGAAAGCGCACACATCTGCAGGCAAGACGCCGATGCCGTATAGCTGCTGTGCTGCGTGGGCCCAGGCGACCGCCCGCGCATCCGGGGCGTCCACTAGGCCTACCCCGTGCACCAACCAACGCCGCAAGCTCAGGGCGTACTCCTCGGTGTAGTCGTGGGGTAGGTATTTAAACCATCTCGAGGAGTTCGCGACCAGCTTGTCGTGCTCGTCCGGCTGCTTGATCAGATCTCCCACAATTGCCACATGCACGGCGAGATTGGCCAGGTGCGACGCGCACGTCCAGCACACGACGCTGTACACGAGCGTGGAATCGTCGAGGGCGGCTCGGAAGTAACACAACATCCTGCAGTCGGCAGCGACGTTCGTCCCCACGCCGTCGCCAATCACCATGTGTACTAGGTGGGCTCGCGTGCCCCCGCAGTGGTTATCCTTGAGGCCGCGCAAGATCGAGTCGATGACAGGCTGCGTTGTCCGGATCAGTGCCAAGGCCATCGTGTCGGCATCTTTCCGATGTAGAGCTTGTAGCCCTGTGAAGATTGGCAGCGTAACGCCCCCAATATGCAAGGTCACCTCGGAATTTTGGATTTTGGAAGAACGGGATCGCAATGTCCGCCGACGACCTTGCGGAGGCGCAAGCTCTACGTCCACGCCCTCGTCGCGGCTGCGCAGCCTCATCAAGACCTCGTCGTGCACATGGTTCATAAAGATAGGCGAGGCCACGTCCGAGGTCAATGCGGTAGGGGGGGGCCAGCTCCGCCACCTCCATGGTCACCTGGTGCAGGCGTTGCTCCTTGATGATGTTGGCGCATCCCGCACGGCACTCGCATATTCTGGACTTATGTAATTTGTCTCCACTGCCGGGAAGTCCCTGCAAAAAGTCGCCACGCTCTGCGCCGTATTGTTCGGATCGCTCAAGCCAGCTCGGATCCTCCACATGTTGTGAATTCTGTCGCCTGTCTTTGCGGCAGCCATGTCGTCCAACGCGGCTTGCTTCTCGAAGCAAACGCGTTTGAAGTAGGCAAGCGACCGCAAGAGTTGACGACGTGTGCGCACAACTTGCCGCGGGGGCCCAATGGGATCCCCCCCGCTTCCGCGCAAGCGCCACAGGTCGAACTCATCGCGGAGCGCCTGCTCCAAAGATGCCACGGCGATCCTGGTGCGCGAATGCTGGTCTGTAGGCGCCCTGCTAA